TTGAGAAATTCCAAACCGTAGTTGTAGGCTTTTGGCTTAGGAGGAGCATCTTGACTATTCAACCCTTGAGTGTCATGAGTGTCTGAGAAGCCTTGGAAGAATGCCTTGAAGAAAAATGTGAGGGAAAATTTTGGGGTATAACAGTAAATATTCATTCATAATTGGAGCATCGAGTAATAAGAGCCAAACACACAACTTCAAATATGCGATTTTGAGTAATTTATCAACAAATGAGGCTCAAATCAAATAACAGGAAAATCATCAATTTCATTTGTATTTAGTCATTATTAGATATATCATTAAATAAGGTTTCAAACGCTTTTGATCGTGCGTAAATTGGAGTTACGGTTCTCAAGTTATGGCAAAACACAATGCTGATTTTTTTCAGAACAACAATGAGCACGCTGAGCACCCTCTGTCTGCGCTGAGCGTGCCCTGAGACTTTGAAACTCATTAAATATGGGGAAAACACATTTTTAGGTTATGGGTTGGGTATTTTTTAGTCCCAACACCACCAACTTCATGTTTTGGTCTTTAGAGCTTAGAAAACAATATTTGTGGCTTGTAATCGGATGATCTGGGGCCGAGAGTTTGGTTGATCGTGATTGACACCACAAAAGATTTGGTTTCTTCTCCATTTTCTTCTCTTTGCAAGCATTATTTTTTGGGTTTTTTTTGTAAGTATGCTTGTTTATATGTATATTTATTGCTCATGGTGTTGTTTGATGCTTTCTTTACAAATCTTCATTGGTGATTGCTTGCTTTATTTGAATTTGGATTGCTGCAGACGTGTACAGTTTGAATCTGGACTTAGGGAGAACATCTATTGGGTTTTTATTCTAGAGATAGATTACGGCTTAGTATTCACGTGAGTGTCGGCTCTTAATGCCTCCGTGTTGGTTGAGTTGTGCGCAGAATTGCCTCTGAGAGAAATATAATTTACATCTCGCTCTGTGTTAGAGATAACCTCTATGTGAGTGATATGTGATGGTGTTGACGAGTAATTTAGGTTGATTGCAACTTGGTAGTAAGTTTAAGTATTTAACGGGTATGTGAAATTCAATCCCGAGAGTCTCTACTTTCCGAAGAATGAATTCTTTTTCTATTAATAACTTTTAATTCCCGCATTTACCACTTCAAATGTAACACCCTAATACAACACCAATTAATAATAATAATATTATGCAACAAGACTGATACTGACTCAATGCATATGGTACCAACAGAGCATAAGCCCTTACCATTATGCCGAATAGGACAACAACGGGGCATAAGCCCTCACCATAATGTCAATACAGGCCAACAACAGGGCATAAGCTCTCACCAATGAATGCATGTGTAACACTCGAGGTAGAAAAGGTCAAGGAGTGGTTGCACCGCATGTAACACCCGAGGCCTAAGAGGGCAAAGGTGGTCACCACATCGGAATGAGAGGGATCCCGAGGTTGTGCAAGTATGGGACTGTATGGTTGAAGAAAGGCTTATATGAATTAATTGGTATTACCTATACCAACAAGATGCATCTTCTTTTCGATAGCTCATTCATAAGAACTCCATAGTTAAGCGTGCTTAACTTAGAGCAATTCTAGGATGGGTGATCTTCTGGAAAGTTTCCTGGAAAGCGTGTGAGTGAGGATAAAACACGCTGAAAAGACTCGTGTTGCTTTGTGGGGTCAGTCAAGAATCCTGAAGGCAGCATGGGGCATTACAAATGGTATCAGAGTCAGACCTCTCCCATTACGATGTGGTTCGAGGATAAATCATGCGGAAACTGGTGGGCATGTAACACTCGAGGCCGAAAAGGGCGAGGAATGGTTGGACCGAATGTAACACCCGAGGCCTAAGAGGGAAAAGGTGGTTGCCATATCGGAATGAGAGGAATCCCGATGCTGTGCAGGTATGGGACTGCATGGTTGAAGAAAGGCTTATATGGATTAATTGATACTACCTATACCAACAAGATGCATCTTATTTTCGATAGCTCATTCATAAGAACTCCATAGTTAAGCGTGCTTAACTTGGAACAATTCTGGGATGAATGACTTTCTGGGAAGTTTTCCGAAAGCATGTGAGTGGGGATAAAACACGCTGAAAAGACCCGTATTGGTTTATGGGGTCAGTCGATAATCCTGAAGGCAGCATGGGGTGTTACAACATACAACACCAACGTGCAACAACATAATTATGCAACCACAAGGCATGAGCCCTAAACATTACGCCATTTCAGGCCAACAACAACATCATCATGTAATATATTATACAATTCATTCATACATCATTTGTATAACATCATCATGTTCAATCACAATAATATGCATCACATATCATACAATACCAACGCACAAGGCATAAGCCTCCAACAAAAATAATCATTTAAGGCAGCATGGGGCGTTACAGCATGCAACAACATAATTATGCAACCACAAGGCATGAGCCCTCAACATTACGCCATTTCAGGCCAACATCATCATCATTATTATTATGCAATATATTATACAATTCATTCATACATCGTTCGTATAACATCATCATGTTCAATCACAACAATATGCATCACATATCATACAACACCAACGCACAAGGCATAAGCCTTCAACAGAAATAATCATTTACTGCCATCACAACGCATCAAGCATATTATCAACTCGTCATGTTGTGTTTAATAATAATAGCACCACATCACTACATTACAACAACACAAAAATCCATACCATTTTACACAATCGTCTAGTGATTAAATTCTCTACTGCCAATAAAATTATTTTTATTGAGAAGATCATCGCACTAGCTTTCCAACGCTTCAAACAATACTCGAGTTTGACTTACGATTAAAAAGTTATGACCAAAATAATTTCACAGTACAAAAACCTGAGAGCTGTTACGACCACCTGTAATGGCCATTACGACCATAATGCTAAAAATCCATAATTTTTTTTCCACGTTTCTGGTACCAAAGTCTAGAGGACTATTACGAGCATCCATAATAGCTATTACGGGCCGTAGTAGAGCCCAGAAAAATATTTTTTACGCGATTTTGTGTGATTTTTCTTGTTTTTCAGCCTTTCAACAGACCCCAAACCCTAAATTTTGACCCCAACAATCCCAAAACATATCATATAATATGGTACACGAATCAAGAAAAATAAACACATCACTACTCAATTCACATCTTCAATTTCATTAATTAATCACAAAACATCGACGATTCATCAACAAGATTCAATCACACATACAAAAATCATGAGGATGCAAAAATACATAACCATGGGAAACCTAATCACTATCATAACTCATCATTATACAACTCGTTATACAGTTAGAATCTCACCCTTACCTTAGATTCTTGAGTCCTCTTCCCTTCTCCAATGGAGTCTTCCCTTTAACCCTAACTTCTTCTTTTCTCTTCTGCTTCTCATTTCTACGACCGATTCCCAAAAATAAATGATTCTTCCTTTCTTTTTTTACATAACTAACATTTAGACCATTTCTATAAACTTCCACTTAAGCCCTTACTTATTCACCTGAAATTACCATTAAGCCCTCCATATATTCATACTACTATTATTATTATTATTATTATTATTATTATTATTATTATTATTATTATTATTATTATTATTATTATTATTATTATTAGTAGTAGTAGTAGTAGTGGTGGTATTCCCTAATAATAAAATACTCCACTAAATAATTAAATAACTTAATAATTATTTAACAATTATTAATATTATTTAATTTCTCTAATTTTAATTAAGTAATGCTAGTAACTACTTACTACCACCACTCTCAAAGTTCTACACAAGTACTCACACACTCTCAACACCTTAATCTTTATATTTCTAAGGCAACTAGCCTACACCAAGAGTATATCAACATATCAAAATACCCATCAACGCATATAAACGCACAACATCACATAATTAAATTATAAAAAACAATTAAATAAAATTGGAGCGTTACATCAAATCAAATTCAAACCAAATTCATTAACACGAGACTTGTCGAACAACAATTCAGTAGCACTAATTCCTGTAGAGGCGATATCACAATTCAGTAACCACTAATTCCTGTGAAGACGATACGATAAAACTAAATAAATACTTATTTTTATTTGTCGTTTTACCACTTCAACAACCTTGAAAGTGATTTGCATTCTCTTTTAAATAGGATATATGGTTGATAACTACATGTGAGTAAGATGTAATCAATTGTTGAATCGTTTCTGATAGATCATGCATGATGATTTCGTGAAGAGAACTCGATATATATAAAAGAAAAATGAGATCATATACTTTCTTCGTGCCTTCATTTTATTATTAGGAACAAATTTTAAGGTTTTTTTCTTCTATATTTAACTGTTCTTACACCTGTAACATGATATTGAAATAATTACATATTAAAATAATTGAAAAAATGTGTGTCCACCTATTCATATCGAAAATTTCACAAAAATGAAATTTGCTCAGTCATCTTCAAATTTGTTGTACTACAACTATGATGTATTGTATGTTTTGAGTAGCGTGAAAACTTTTAAGATTTTATCTTTTAAGAAAAGTGATTTGCTGAATTGAGACATATAAATATTGTATATAAATTACATTAACTTCAATTATCAAGCAAGACTATTTTATTCAACCCGGAACAAATCAATATTTTGAAGAGTTTGAAAATAATAAAAAGACTTTGTCACCATTTCTTTAAATGATATTGTAACTCAAAACCAAATTGAAATGAAAAAATAAGGATACAATAATAAAATGAGTGGAAGTCAGAAGAAAGCTATAATGACACACACAACAAAAAGTGTAAACTTAATTAAATGTCCTAACCGGGTTCGATGTAGTTATCCCATTTGAGTCGAGTGTGACCAGCGACCAAAACTGCATACAGAGAATCAGAAAGCAAAGTTAATATTCCTAGAATTTTGAGGTTGCTTCAATTCCTCAATCAATCTCATATTTAAATAGAAAGCGCCGTGGAATGAAGAGAGCGAGAGTGACATGGCCAGAGGGAAGTGCCTTTGGAATTTTTCCTACAACAATACTACTCTCTTTCTTTGCTTTTTCAGTATTGCTGTTCTTGCTCTCTTCGTTTTTCGCTCTCTTTATGCTTTTCTTTCTATTCACTCTACTAACATTTCCCCACAAGGTAAGTTAAGAAACAACACCAATCTTCTCACAAATCATAATACTGTGTTTTTTCCTTCAAGACAAACTGTTTCCACGTTGTTTTTGTTTCTTTGTTTTCAGCTGTATCATATAGCCCGGATCAGATTCGGAAAATGGAAGAAACACTGCGAATCCGCATGGCATATAAACCAGTGGAGTTAATTAAATCGGTAAGAACGAAGATCTAAGAACTAACAACACTTTAGTTAATCTGGTTATTATTTTGAAACCGTTACACCAATCAATCAGGTGAAGCCTTTAGAAGGGGAATTTTCAATAGAGAATTTGGTGGTTGAGTTGCCGCAGTACATGAAGCAGAAAATAGTTGATGAGATTTTGCATAGACTAAGGAGCTTGAACTCCAGTAGCACTGGCATTGCTAAGGAACGAGGTTAGTGTGTAGAGAAACTAATCCTCTGCTTATTTACATTTCATTTTAACTCATTGAATACGTGTTTACTTGGATTTGCAAACTTCACTTCTCTTGGATCATATTACGTTTTCAAAAATACAGAAGTTATTGAAAGTTGGCGCAAGGAAAAACTCGAAGAGGTTAGGTTGGCTCATGTGAAGGGGAGTTCTAACTTTACCATCTCTCATGAAGAGACTGGTATGAACATTGATTTTCTGTTATGTCTCTTGACAGTTGAATGAGCGACATGTTTAAACATAATGTTTTGATAGGTATGCTATTAAGAGCTTTGGAGTCTGATTGGAATGTGTTTTGCGAAGAGGTCGGCCTTTTGATACCTGCTCAAGTCGTTAAAGAAGAACATGACAAATCCAAGGGCAGAGAAGATTTTGGTAATATCAGTTTCTATAGTCAAAATAGTTTCTTCCAGTATCGCCTTAATTGAAAGAAAACATGACATTATGTGGTAGAAACTAGTAGTACTATGCATATACTTTTTTGGTTGCAGAATCTTCTTTGCATTTACCTAGTATTAATTCTATCCAGAGGAGGAGGTTCTTCCTGGCAGACCGCTTCCATCTGAGTGTCATGCAGAACTTCACACCGACTACGATGGTACTGCGGTAAGATGGGGTCTTAACCATCACAAAGATAGTGCAGCTGAATGCTGTCAGGCTTGCTTGGATCATGCAAGACATGCTAAAGAGGATGAAAAGAAATGCAATATTTGGGTTTATTGTCCATCTGAGTTTGGGTGTCATTCTCCAGACATCTATCAACACAAACATCAAGAATGCTGGCTGAAATATGTAACTTTCCTTATGATTAACTACTTTGCCTCTTTTCTGTGTATTTGCATCATAGCTTTTGATATTTTTTTAATGCAGGATGAGAAACCTCAACTAAATTTTAAAAACAAGTATCCTGAATCATATCAAAAGTCATACCCGTCAGCACCAGTAGTTGTTCCATGGGTCTCTGGAGTTGTTAGCTTATGATCCAAGTAACCAACACCAGAGGTAACCCAACCCGGGCTACTACCTTTTATACTTCAAGAGCTCAAAGCAAAGCTAAATAAATTAGAGTAAGAAAACAAAAGCCAGCAGAAATAGTAGTAATCACGAAGGAATGAAAATCATGTGGTACTTTAATTATTCAACTATATTATTGACAAAGAATGCTAAAATAGACTGGCAAATGTTATCAATCATTGTGCATTTTGAAAGGGTTCCCTCTCAATGCCTTAGACCGCAGTGTGCAGCAAATATTTGAATGCTTGTGCATTTCTTGTCTGGTTGTACTGTCACGCGTAAATGCTTTATCCATTAAGTTGAGGATCATATTCCTCCGGAAAATTTGGGGAAATAAAAGGAAACTGACTGAAACAAAATTATAATAAACAATTTCCCGCGTACTTGAAAGCAAAAATCAAAGATGATCAATAATTGCTTTTGTAAATTCAGTTGTCTTTGAAGTGCCACCAAGATCAGCAGTTCGGTACTTCCCTTCTGCAATTGTGTTGAGGATGGCATTTTGAATTTGGTCTGCTTTATCATGGAGATCGATATGGCGCAACATAGTAACAGAACTTAGCAGCAAAGCAGTTGGATTAGCCAAATTCTGCATAAATCCACAGAAAAACAGGTGTAAATTTTAGTTAAAGGGGGTTGTTTAATGGTTAGAAATTTCACTTTCAAGAATAACTTTCTCGGAAAATAATTAATAGAATCTGAATCTCGTGTATTTTATAGAAAATGTGTTTGCGGCATTTGCGATTTCTACTTTATTGAGCTGGTAGTTCTACCCTATGCCTTACAAATAGCATATGTGTCACAAGTACAAAACAGGCACTAAAAAAATCACATGTTCCATGAAGACAAGCAAAGAAGTTTAGAACAGAAAATATATGGTTTTAAAAAGTACTACCATAGCTCACCTTCCCGGCAATATCAGGTGCTGAACCATGTACAGCCTCAGCAAGTGCAATACCTCCCTCGCCAATGTTGCAACTGCAAAATACAGGATGACCTATCAGGTGATATATTTATCGCTACTAAACTTCTTTGCCCAAAACTCAACAAAACAAAGAAAAACCTGGGTGTCAAGCCTAATCCTCCAATCAAGCCAGCACAAAGGTCACTGATTATGTCACCATAAAGGTTAGGCATCACCAACACATCAAAAAGTGCAGGATTTTTCACAAGCTGCAGATGATCCAAAAAGCAACAGTGTATTATTTTCATATAGACAAAGAATTTCAAAATGTGGTTGTACTCCCTACATAAGCTGACCAATATTACCATCATGCAGCAATTGTCGATGACCACTTCCTCATACGTTATCTCTGGATATTTCTCAGCAACCTCACGGCAACACTAAAAATAATCCAAAATAAAATTACAGTATTAGTATTCAAGAATATAATTTGAGACCGAATATTTATAGCCATTTGTATTAACAGTAACATGCCTTCAGGAAAAGACCATCAGTCTTTTGCATAATGTTGGCTTTGTGTATAGCAGACACTGTTTTTCTTCCATGTGCCTTGGCATAGTGAAAAGCATACTCAGCCACCCTTAAACTAGCATGACGTGTAATGATTTTGAGACTCTCTACTACACCCCTCACAACCTGTAGCCCAAAAGTGTTAAATAAGTTATATTCATTAGAATTCGAATGATAGTGTATAATACTGATTGCCGTGATAAATACCTGATGTTCAAGTCCACTGTACTCGCCTTCGGTATTTTCACGGATTGTGATGAGATCTACATTATCATATCGAGTTTTGTAGCCAGGAAGGCTGTAACAAGGTCGAACATTGGCATATAAATTAAGTTCTTTTCTTAGAGTAAGGTTTAATGAACGATGCCCTTTTCCAATAGGGGTGGCCATTGGCCCTTTCAAGCCAATCCCATTTCTCCTTACCGATTCTAAACTTTCCCATGTAAGAAAGCTTTGTGTTCTAGGGTCAACTTCGGTCCCTACATAATGCTCTTCCCATTCAATTGGAACTTCAGCAGCTTGGAATACCTAATTATTGCAATAGTGAGAAACTAAAGAATTGACAGCACATTACATTTGATTCAGCAAAGAGAGTCAATTATTATTATGAATATTCAAGTATACATAATACATAATAAGAAACAAATAAAGCAAGAGAGATAAGAAAGAATAAAGTATCCCCAACATTAGCAAGTGACCATTTTCAGCAGCAAAGCAGACTCGACATCTATGACAATGGAAGAAAAGTGAAACAAACCAATATAGTGATGGGAACCCGATGGAAGAAAACTGCAGGGAAATGAATTATTATGAAAAGGAACATTAGCAAGAATCCTAGTAACCCATAGCAGAGCTCCTCAGACAGAAACTATAGTCACCGGTGCCCACTAGCAGCAATCTTACTAACTTACTCCTCCAACTCAATACTCTCATCATACCCCCCATTACTCGGGTATTCATCTACATTTGTAACTAACTGGACCTCTCAGCACCCTTTATAGATGACATACTTTATATCCAATCTCTCTTGTGCCTTCCTTTGAATATATACCCATAACATAACAGTAATACAAGGAAATCTGTAGAAACCCCAAGGGTGTTTCTCTGGGTTCATATCTTGTTTGTGCAGCTTAAATTATTTGAGAATATACAAAACCAAAATCAGACAAAAGATGAAACTGAATCAAAATTGTGCATATAAGGAAAATGTTAAAACTTCAACGAAAAAAGTTAGTTATGCTCTATGAAGCACGGACACACACGACACCGGCCCTAACACGTCGACACAGGTAATAATTTTAAAAAATGAATAAACTGAACGTAATCACAAGTGTCAGTGTTGTGTCGGTGTCCGACACTGACATGTCTTATTACAGAGGTGCCGGTGTTGTTAAATAAAGCCTAAACAAACATGTAAAATATTTGTTGTGTTTTGATCTTGCAATAACATTGACAGGCAAGGCAACGATATATACATGTCATTAAGCACAACGGCACTATCACACAGCATAAAGCCATTTTCATATCTATGCCATAATCATAATTTATTAGCCACAGCAACCTCCCTTACGCACCCCTTTCTATCGATACCGAGAAACCATATAAACTGAAGGCAACTATAGCCCAAGAAGGCATTTATATGACATGGTAAAAACATGCTACCACCATGCCGTTTGCATTGTTTTTTTATATATAAATACACACAAGTTTTATCTTCAAAGTTTTAAGTCAGTGACAAGAATTAGAATTAGGGAACAGTAAAAACGGTAATTCACACAGTTACAGAACAAGCCAATCAGGAAGCCAAATAAATGTTCACAGAATTATATATATAATATAATCGAAACATCGCACTCAAAAAGGTACAAGATGAATTAGAGAGAAATGAAAAGGAACCTGTTTGACGGAATCGGCGATCTCGGGACCGATACCGTCTCCGGGGAAAAGAGTGGCGCGGATCGCAGTGGAGGCGGAAGAGAAGGATTTAGGGTTTGAGAGATAGCGGCTTCCGAGGGTTCGTCTGAGTATCTGAGAAGCCATATTTGACTGCACACTCACAGGAAAATGTAACGCAGAAACTAAGGTTGGGAAGTGGCCGATTCTCTTTAGTTTACTTTTTGTTTTCGGGTTCTTTTCGAACACGGTCAACTTAAGCTATGTTTGGTTCTACTTTTGCATAATCATAATTGATTTTGAAAATCTTAAACTTAATAGCTTTAATTGCAATTTTAATTCTATTATTTTTTTTTTTGGTTTTAATCTTTTTATTTTAAAATTTAAGTTTTCTTTTAAATTTTAATACCCTTAAATTTAAAGTTAAATTTTGATGACATGTCCACATCAATATTGCAGCCGCATTCTGTCCACTTAGTCTAAAATATTTTAACTCAATATAAAGTTATAATAGTCTTTGAGATAATATTTATTTTATTCTTATTTTTCACATATTTTTTAAGGAAATTATTTTTAAAAAAAATACTACTATATAAAATATAGTGTTAAATATATAATATTTTTCTATAATACGAGTGAGTTTCGCTTTATCCTCGTAAAATTTTTTTTTTAGATTCTCCCATTGTAATATTAAGATTATGTGTTTCTTTGATCTATCTGTTGATAATATGATATGAAATCTTATTGTTTGATGACGTGGTGTGTACATGTGACATTTATTTTAATTTTTATTTATTTTTTAAAAATTCACATGGTATTTTTATTTATTTAAAAAAATTTAAAAAAATATTTATTTAATTAAAAATATATATTTTATATTTTAATATTATTATCTTTTATTATTTAATATAGATAAATTATCATTTTCAATATATATATATATATATATATATATATATATATATATATATATATATATATATATATATATATATATATATATATATATATATATATATATATATATATATATATATATTGAAATTAATTAACCGTATAATTTGTAAAATTTATGTCAAAATTAAGCTATAGAGGATCAAACCCACCCCTTTGGTTTGAAGGTCTATAACTAACGGCTTGTCCAATTACACCATTTTGACATAAATTTACACCAGTCTACGTATTAAGTAAGCATCAATAAGTATGATTGATTAATATTCAAAATTCTACTTTGACATTAGGTGGTCCATGAACAAGGTAATATATTTTACCTTTTCCATTATATTCAGTGAAGGTGAGAGTGTTTCTTGAATGTAGGATTTATTTTTAATATAATAAAGTAATATATTAGTAAAATTATTTTATTATCCTAACTCAAATAGTTAAACAGTTTTATTTAGTATCCTTAAATGTCATTTTATCTAATTAATCATTATTTAAGTTATTTATCTAATCTAATTAAATATTGCATTAATTGTTACACCCAAATTCAATGCATTAAAGTATTCATTCTCTACCATTAATATTTCAATTGGTGGTAAGGCCGAGGGAGGCAATGAAGTGGTATGAGAGAGAAGAATATGAATTTACAAAATATCTC